GGACACAAGGTGACTTGTGCTGAGGCCCTGGAGTTTCCCTCTGTCCCGTCTCCTCCAGAGGCATGTCTGTAAGATGGGCCTTCAGCTGCTCCAGCCAAGAATCAACAGGTTCCTATAATACCCTAGTGGGCTGCATCTCGTCTGAGGACACCTCCTTGACCTTCACGTTCACTGTGACCTGCAGACAAGATAAATAGGTCACTGGGGAGCTGGGAGAGATGGGGGTGGGAGGAAATATCCCCCCAGACACACACAGGTGGAGACAACAGCACTGATGAATGCTTTAACATGGAGCTTCTCATCCTCCGCCTGCCCCAGCTGAAACCTTTCGGGCAGAGTCGCTGCGCCAGAACAGGTCTCCACGCTGCGCCCCCAGCTCTCAGCTCTGCATCTCCTGGCACAGGATGGCCAGAAACTGCTCCAGCACCGCCAGCATCTGCCCCTCGCTGCGTTGCTGGGCTCCCGCCAGCGCTGGCAGAGCTCCCGCAAGCGGCCACAAGCCTCCCGCAGCGCCTTGCTGTGTTGCGGGCCACTATTTCACTTGCTGTTGCACCAGCCATCTCGGGGGCGCCTTGCCAGTCCCAGCTTGGAGACGAGAAGGGCTTTTCCTGCCCCCTCAGCTCCTACCTTGACTCCTCCAGGGTCCTGCTCCTCCACCTTCGCCTCCCGCTGCACCAGGGCTGAGACAGGACGGTGCACGGCTGCCACGGGCTCCGCTCAGCAGCCAGTTTCTCCACCACGAGAGGCCTCCCCCCAGCCCGGGGCCTTGCTCTCCCCTCCACGGGCGCCCAGGAGGGGCAGGCTGTGCACGTCCGTGGGAACCGAGACAGCGCAGATTTACCACGTGACAGGACCCAGGACCTAAGCCCTAAGCCATCCCCTGCACACGCCCCGCCCCCTCCACGGCCCTGCACACGGCCCCACCCGCGCACACAGACCCCGCCCCCCGCCACAACCGAGTTCCAGCCCCCGCTCTCGACTTCCCTCAGGCCCCGCCGCAGGGC